TGGGCAAGAATGAGATCCCATTGTTTGATGTTTTTCCTAATGAAGCATCGAAACAGATTCCCAAGGCTCTTCTATTAATGACTTCGGTCTGTCCATTTGCTTAAGGATGTGCTGCCAAACTAACTTGAAGTTTAGTGCGTAATTTGCCCCAGAGGGGCTTCCAAAAGTGGATTAAGAATTTAATGTCCCGACCGAAAATGGTTTGGGGTATGCCGAGAAATCGAACGATCACGTGGAAGTATAAATCGGCAATATAAGATGCATCGAACGTCCGGTGGCAAGCAACAAAATGGGCCATCTTTGAAAATCGGTCAACTACGACCATGACAAAGTCCTTATTCCTTTGTGTGTGTGGTAGTCCTAGGGCAAAGTCCATGCAAACATCGACCCAAAGTGATTTAGGGACTGTCAAGGGTGTGTATAGCCTTGTATTTTGGTCGCGTGTTTTGGCAATATGGCAAGTCTTACATTGTCGGATGTATCGCTCAACATCTCGTGTCAGTCGGGGCCAAAAAAAATGTTCTCTCACGAGTGCAAGAGTCTTATCTTTGTCAAAGTGGCTGACCAATCCGCCACTGTGGTTCTCCTAAAGGATAACTTCTCATAGTGAGCATCGGGGAATGCATAATTTGCTTTGGGGAAATAAGTAGTCATCCGCTTCATAGAATTGCTCGTGAGGTTTCTCCTGACATTGTGCCCAAATTTCCTGGAAGTCTTGATCGATCTCGTATAAGTCTTTGATAACTTCAAAACCTATGGCGTGCACCTTCAAAGATGTGATCAGGAGGTCATGAAGGCTCAAGGCGTTTGCAACACGGTACTGAATACCGACATTGTGCTTGAGTATGAATTGGAAGAACGCCAAAAATTCTACCCATGTAGCGTGGCTCCTTTTAAGTTTACTTTGGTTGTTAAGAAATTTTAGAGTCTCATGATCTGTGAGAGGGTGAACACCTTGGTGAGTAGGTAATGACTCCAATATTCTAAAGCTCTAACAACGACATAAAATTCTTTATCGTAGGTGGAATATTTTCATCAAGTTTATTTAGTTTTTCGCTAAAATAGGTTATGGGGTGACCAACTTGACTTAGCACAGCGCCGACACCTACGCCGAAAGCATCACACTCGACCTCGAAAGGTTGGTTGAAATCATGTAAGGCAAGAACTGGGGCTTGAGTGACATTTTCCTTCAAAATGTCGAGTTGTTTTGGGTTGTAGTCGTCCATGTGAATTCTTTCCGTTTCAACAACTCTGTGAGGGGGAGGTGATGGTGCTGAAGTTGCGAACAAACCTTCGATAGGAGGAGGCAAGCCCCAAAAATTATCGAAGTTCGGTAAAAGATTGCAACGCGGTCCAGCTTATGATTGCTTCAATTTTTACTGGGTCCTTTGTATCCCCGTGCAGGACACCATGTAGCTTAAAAAACATATTTGGTTTGTGAGGAAGTGACACTTCTTGAGATGGGCGTACAACTATTCGGATCGAAAGACCTCAAATACAAAGCAGGTGTTGTAGGTGGCCTTCTTCTGATTAATTATAAACCAAGATATCATTGAAGTAGACCACCCTGAATTTCACAATATGAGATCGAAAAACTTGATTCATTAGATGCATGAAGGTGTCGGGCGTGTTCAATAGGCCGAAAGGCATGACTGTCCATTCAAAAAGGTCATCTCGTGTTTCGAAAGTGATTTTCCACTCATCTCTTTGGCCGCATTCTGGTCTAGTGGTAACCGCTCCGTATGTCAATTTTCAAGAAGACGATGACGTCATACAACTATTTAAAAAGATCATTGAGGCGCGGTACAGGAAAGCGATATTTGATTATAATTTTTTTTATAGCACGACTGTCAATGCACATCCGCCAGGAGCCATCCTTCATGGGTACAATACACATGGGTTGGTGCTTTCGCGTACCAATCCTCGTTTCACAAGATCTTGCACCTTCTTTGGAGTTCCTCATACTCTATGGGTCTTAATCGGTAGGCGGGTCTATTTGGTAGTACTGACCTGGTATGAGGTCAATTGCATGTTGGATGTCCAGTAGTGGAGGTAGTTCGTCTGGGAGATCGTCGATCATGATGCCTTCGAAATCGTGTAGGAGTGGTTTGTGTGGGTTTCTCATTATCCGAGCCGGTACCCTCTAGGAAGATCAGAGCGCGAGCTGATTGTTGGAAGGTAGCCCGAGAGATTAAAGTGTTTTCGGTGTAGATAGTGGGTCGCGCATCTTTTACAGGTAATAAAATGATGTGTTTCCCATCCTTCTTGAATGTATAGGTGTTTTTGAAGCCTTCATGCTGCATTTTTCGGTCAAATTATCATGGTCATCCCAAAAAAATTTGACATGCATTCATTGGGACGACATCACACCAAACTTGTTCTTGTAGTTGATTGTCGATGGAGACGTGAATCTCGTTCCCCTTTTTGAGCCAAGTGAGAGTAGGATCGTGGGTGTTATTGGGTGGCTACGCCTAACTTCTTGACCATTAGGGTGGATACGACATTTTCACAACTACCGTCATCAATGATTAAACTGCAGATTTTGCCTTTGACAATAAACGTAGTATGAAAGATGTGTCGTAGCCATGATGAATCTCTGTTGGGCTCTAATTGAAGGATCCTCCATAACACCAATAGTCTGCCTTCATCTCCGGGGAGGGGCAATGCTTATTTCTCTCCTAATGTTTTTATCTTTCAGGATCGCCATTCGAGAACTATTAAGAGGGTAGCGGACTCTACTACTTCCAAGAGAAAAGCAGAATGAGAACACTCTACCCAATGATTGTAGTTTATCTCAAGTCATTGAATGTCCTATTATGTTGTTACATTATCGTTTGAGACATCCTAATTTTCAATATTTTAAATAATTGTATTTGTTGATGTTACTAATAAAAATCTTGTTAGTTTCAAATGTGAGACCTGCTAGTTAACCAAACATCATCGTGTTCCTTATTCACCCCATATTACACACAATTTGCTCATTTTTTCACTTATTCACAGTGACCTATAGGGACTCACTTACATTTCCATCTACACTAATAAACGGAGATTCATTATCTTGATTGATAACCACACTCAGATGACGTGGGCCAATATCCTAAAAGACAAATCTGAAGTTGCTATCACCTTCAAAAGCTTTCACACCTTCATTTTGACCCAATTCAAAACTTCAATTCAGGTCCTTCAAATTGACAATGATCAATAATTTTTTAACTCTACATTGAGAGAATTCTTGGTAAGTAAGAGCACTTCCACCATAATTGGTGTACAGACACTAAATAAAATGAGATAGGCGAGAGGAAAAATTGATATCTCAATGTTGCTCGCTTAATTATGTTTCAATATAATGTCTCAAAACGTTTTTAAAATGATGTCTTACCGCCAACTATCTCATCAAAGTTTCCCTTAAAATTCACAACTTCAAAACCCCTTTAGTCGTCTTGATGTCGTGCTTTTCTACCAATCGAGTCTTCTCCACTTTAGACCCGAAAATTTTTGGAACACGACCTTGGTTCGGAACACCGCCCCAACTAGGAGTAAACTTGATCCTAGGTCCAAAAAGTGTCTTCCTCGAATAATCTATCACTCAAGAAGGCTATATGAGTATGGATCTTATCACAAGCATAATCTATATCAGTGTTGATGTCTCCTTTTTTAAAAGTATTCCTACTTTCCTAACTCGACGTCAAGTGAGAGTTCTTGAACACTGTTCCATATTCTACTCCTGTGGAAGTTCCCCCCACTTTTACTACCACCAAGAAGTCTTCTATCCCTTTCGTTCCATCATCTCCTCCTCCCCCTCTTCGTGTCTAAACTCGACACACTCATCACGATGCACCTACTCTAGAGCTCGCTACCTCCTTGCAGGAAATAGAATCCACTCCGGGCGATATCCCCAGCACTACTCCTACTCCAAATGAGGAGGTGAGGTTTCCTATTAAGGTACGCAATTAGGCATGCTCTCTCTATTTCATGGCAAACTATGTCTCTTTCTACAGCTTATTGTCGACCTACAGAGCATTTGCTACTACCCTGACGAATCATCAGCTCCCATCTACTATTGAAGCTGCGCTAACAAACCCGGCCTGTAAAGATGCAGTAATAGATGAGATGAATGTCCTTCAGCGGAACCATGCGTGGGACGTTGTAGATATTCCTCTGAGTAAAAAAGCGATGGGATGCCAATGAATTTTTAGTATCTAGTTTAACTCAAATGGATCCTTTGAACACAACAAGGCACGGTTGGTTGTCAAAAAATGCTCGCAGACCTATGAAGTTGACTATGATGAGACATTTGCTCTAATTGCTAAATTAAACATCATTCGGGTCTTGTTATCACTTGCGGTGTTAGACATTTGCTCGTATGCATGACTCCTACGAGCACCATCTCCAAGCTGTCCACCAGATTCTCCACTATTTAAAAGTCACACTGGGCTCAAGTTTTTTTTTTCTCGTGCCACACTTCTCATTTTATTGCAATATACACAAATGTTGATTGGGTCGGGTCTATCCATGATCAATGATCTACCTCGGGGCACTGCCCAATTGTGTGGAGAAATCTTGTAACGTGGAAAAACAAAAACAGTCAGTGGTTGCCCAGAGCAGTATTGAAGCCGAATTTCAATCCATATCCTTGGGAATATGTGAAGTTCTCTAGTTATGCATCATACTCCAGTTGTTCTGCGATAATAAGACCGTCACTGACATTGCTCACAATCCGATGCAACATGATCGCACCAAACATGTTGAAATTGACCAACATTAGCTTTTAAATAACACGAGCCAAAAGAAAACAACAATATTAGCTTGGACTAGCTAGAATCAAATAACAAGTTTTATTCCGAGTTTTGTATTTGATAAATAACTAACACCGGCAGTTATTATTAGTTCAACTATAACGAACGACAAAGATAAGACCCATCACAACTCGCATCATTTATTAACTTACAAACAAACAAACCAACAAAGCGACAAGTATAGTATTGAAATAATCTCCATACCTATCAATCTCAATGAAAGAGGAAGTTCTGCCTTGAGAATCCTTGAAGCACAGCTTAGAATATCTTCCTTTGACTGAATGCATTTTTGCAAAGATGTTGCTCTTGTTCGAACCTAGAATCATTTATCGATCATCAAAAAATCAAGCATAAAGACAAGTCCTAAAAAACAACAGTAGAATTTCCAAAATATAAAAAAAGTTGATAGAATGATAGTGATAATATGCAAAAAATGTCAAGCAAGCTGAAAAAAAGAATACCTCAAAAGAATCAGTTTTCAACTTCAATGTCAATGTTCGTCCACTGAGACCTTTCTCTTTCATGTCATTTGAAAGTGTCTCGGCAATGTCACCTGCAACACAAGGTAACGGTTAGTACAACTAAATCAAAGTTTAAACCAGAAACACGAACAAAGTAGAAAGGAGCATATTAGATTTAGAACGACAATTCGTACCTATTATTATCTATTATTAATTTTTTATTCCCTCATTATATATTTCCTATTTGTTTTATTCTATTTTATTTATTTCTTTTGTTGTGTCTACTGCAATTGGATTTAAATACCCTTCTTCTATCAATAAAATTATGTTGCTCTATTCCAAATCTCAAGATGATATCAGAGACTAATCCTAGATCCAGCAAACGCCGGTCTCCTCTGCCAGTTTCAGCAGCCGGTGATTTCCTCTTTTGACTTTTTCTGCTGCAGTTTTTCCCTGGTCCTGGTAACGTATCCCTTCTACCTTTTTTCCTGGTTCTACAAGCCGCAATTTTCCTTCTGTTTCCAAGCAGCAGCCACAGGTTTCCCCAGCCGTACGGTTCCTGCAGCCGTTTTCTTTTCTTCCGCTCCTTCATCCACTGTTCGGTTGTTTTGCATCTGCCTCTCCAATCGCTGTTGCATTGAAGAAGATAGAAAGCTGTGATGAGAAGAAACGGCAGAAAATTCATTGTTTTTTGGATCCTCTTCATCTTTATTCTCCTTTTCAGCCGCTGCTCCCAGCAGTTTCTCTCAACCGACTGATCCCAATTATGTGGCTGAAACTTCCTGCCTTTTTTTCCTTCCAAACCGGTTGTTTTTCTTCCAGCCACTGATCCCAGCAAACTTCTCAAAGCCGGCCTTTCTACGAGAAAAATTTGCGTACATAAGACGTACACAGCGCTACGTACGTCAGGGTGGTTATTCAAAGGGCATTGGGAGGTTATATCCGCGTTATACCCCATGTAACCTACCTGTGCCTTCTAGTAAGTTTCGCGCTTCTGTTTTCATATATTTGTAGGTTACAGGGAGATTACATGTGGTATAACGCGGATATAACCCCCCAATACCCTCTGAATAACCTCTCTGACGTACACAGTGTTGTGTATGCAAATTTTTCTCGCTGCTTTTGCTGACGTGGTAATTAAGAAGCCACAGACCCTCCTCTCTGCTTTTGCTGCCGTGGTAATTAAGAAGCCACGGACCCTCCAATCTCCTCCATCGTCCAGCGAATTCGCTGCAGTGTGGCTTCTTCCTGCAGCGTTATGTTTCCCCTCAGTGTGGCAATTCCCTGCAACTTTTCTTGCATACTTTTCAGCAGCCTTCTCGCAGCTTTCCTGCATCGTTCCTGCAGCTTGCATTTTTATTGTAGCATTCATGTAGCTCTCTTGCATTTTTCCTGCAGCCTTCCAGTAGTTATCCGTTAGTCGGAGACTCACAAATCCATCAAAATGTCTTGGAATTCCAGCCACATTTGTTCTGGTTCGATCGGAATCATCTCGAATCGTGTTCAACCCTCATCCGTGCTACCTCAGACCGGTTTCTCAATTTGTGTTTACTGTCGCAAACCAAACCACATTCGGGACAAGTGTTAGAAACTTCATGGTAAAGTGACTTACAAAACTTCAGTCAAATCTTCAGCTGCCAAAAGCCTCACGGCAACGTTCGAATCTACCATGGTTCAACCAAAGTTCGAATCTACCCGGAACATCCCGAATCATCTGAATCGCGCAGAAACCAGATGGAGCAATTGATCAAGCTACTTAGAGTATATCAAGTCTCTACGAGTTTGTCGACCTCCCACATCTGATAAGGTTCCTATGGCTTTCACGATTTATTCTGACTCTATTTCATGAATTATTGATTCAGGTTCCACATATCACATGATTGAATGCTAACAAGTTTTCTCGACTTACTATCCGTGCTCTGAAAAAGATACAGTCAGAATTGTCAATCACTCCTGTAGTTCTATTGCTGGTAAAAGATCAGTTGTACTAACAACAATCTAACTCTGGAGACTGTTTTACATGTTCCCCATTTGTAATGTAACTTTTTATCTGTTAGCAAGTTGACGAATGATATTGATTGTGTTACTAATTTCTCTTCTGATTGTTGTGTTTTCCATGATCGTCGTCCGGGGAGCATGATTAGAATTGTTAAGAGAGTAGTCAGACTTTATTACTTCCAAGAGAATAATATAGAGAGTGACGACACACCTTTTAGAAGTTATAGCTTATCTCAAATCATTGAATGTCTCATTATGTTGTTGCATTGTCGTTTAGATCATCCTAGTTTCCAATATTTAAAAAATTATATCATTTGATTTTTTTGATAAAAATTTTTCTAATTTCAATTTTGAGACATGTCAGTTAGTGAAACATCATCGAGTCTATTACCCACTCCACACTTACACACCTTCCACTCCTCTCATTCATAGTGACCAATGAGGTCCCTCTCGCACTCTCAGTTACATCAATAAACAATGGTTTCTTACTTCGATTGATGATCACACTCGAATGACGTGGATCTACATTTTAAAAGACAAATCGGAGGTTGATGTCACCTTCAAAAACTTCTACACCTTTATTTCAATTCGATTCAAAGCTCTTATTCAGGTCCTTCGGACCGAGAATAACCGTGAATTTTTCAACTCTATTTTGGGTGAATTCTTAGTGAGTAAGAGTATTCTCCACTATAGCTCGTGTAAAGAAACTCCTCAACAAAATGGTATAGCCGAGAGGGAAAACTATCACCTTCTCAATGTTGTTCGCTCCATTATGTTTCAATCCAATGTCCCAAAATGATTTTAGAACAATGTCCTCTAACTTTCACTTATATCATAAATAGAATCATTTCTAAAATTCACAAGTTTCGAACCCCCTTGCAGTCCTGATGTCATGCTTCATTGCCAATCGACTCTTCTCTGCCTTAGACCCAAATATTTGAGTGCACAGCTTTTGTTCAAAACACTGTCCCTAATCAAAGTAAACTTGATCTCAGATCCATAAAATGTATCTTCCTTGGGCATTGTATTAGTGAATTGATCCTACCACAAACAAAATCTGTGAGTGCTGACGTCTCATTCTTTGAAAGTGTTCCTTATTTCCTTGTTCCGCCCCAAGAGTTCGGAAGCTTGGGTTCTTAGACACTATCCCTTATCCTACTCCTATGGATGTTCCCTCCATTGTTCGTCAATGAGAAGTCCCGTGTTCTGGTAAGTGCCGATCCGATGAGCCCTCCGATTCAGTGAGTGAACCATCTCCTTCCACTATACGTGTCTACACTCGGCGCACTCGTCCCAATGCTTTTAATCTGGAACCCGCGACCTCCATATAGTACCCGGACTCCACCCCGGGCGGCATCCTCATCACGACCCCACCTCTGAATGAGGTGAGTTCATCAAGTAAGGTATGCAATCAGACATGCTACTTCTATTCTATGGCAAAATGTCTCTTTCTGCAGCTTATCTCGGGCTTACAGAATATTTTCTTTCTACTACCCTAGCGGACCATCATATAGCAACTACTATTGAGGTTGCTCTTACTGATCCATCCTGGAAAAAGGCAGTAATGGAGGAGATGAATGCCCTTCAGCGAAATCATACATGTGACGTCGTTGATCATCCTCAGGGAAAGAAAGCTAAGAAGTGTCGATGGATTTTCAACACCAAGTTTAACTTTGATGGGTACTTTGAAAGCAACAAGAAACGATTGGTTGTCAAAGGGTACTCACAGACCTACGGAGTTGACTATGAGAAGACATTTGCTCCAATGGCTAGGTTAAACACTATTCGGGTCTTGATGTCTCTTGCGGTGAATCTGGGTTGGACTTTATTTCAGCTAAGTGTCAAGAATGTGCTCTTGAATGGAGAGCTTACAGAAGATGTACACGTCTCTCCCTCCTAGTTTTAACTCTACTGCCTCCAGAGGGCAAGTGTGCGGGCTGCAAAAATCCCTCTATAGGTTAAAGCAGCCCCAACGGCCTAGTTTGGCAAGTTTACAAAGCTGGTTGTGGGTCATAGTTTTACTCAGGCTCAATAAGATCACACTCTTCTTTCGACATTCCTCCAATGGTCAGGTAGTTATCATTATTGTCTATGTTGGCGATATTATTTTTACGGGTAATAATCTCCCAGCATTGAAGTCCTTCAAATACATTCTTGCTAAGTTATTTGAAATGAAGAACTTGGGATCTCTCCAAAACTTCTTAAGCATGGAAGTAGCTCGATCAACTTGGGGCATTTGTCTATCTCAGCACAAAAATATGTGGTTAATCTCTTGACAGAGAATAATCTTCTTCTGTGCAAACTCGTGGTTGTCCCTATATATCCCAATGAAAAATTATCTGACATTCTCAATGTTGTGTCTTTCAACAAGACTAATTACCAGCATCTTGTGGGGAAACTCATCTAGCTCGCCCATACTCGCTCAGCCATATGTCGCGTAGTTAGTATAGTGAGTCAATTCCTGCATAACCTCTATGAGCACCATCTCCAAGTTGTCCACCAGATTCTCCACTATTTAAAAGGTACACCGGTTCAGGTTTATTTTTCTTTTGTCACACCTCTTGGTCTATTGTTATTTATAAAGATGTTGATTGGGTCGGGTCAATTCATAATCCACGTTCCACATCGGGATATTGCTCATTTGTATGGGAAAATCTTGTCACATGGAAAAGCAAAAATAGTCTGTGGTTGCACGGAGCAGTGCTACAGCTGAATTTCAGTCTGTCCCTGGGGATCTGTGAAGAGCTCTGATTACGCATCTTGCTCCATGAACATATGCCAGCCTTCATCCTGTTGCATCTATTCTGTGATAATCAGCTGCCAATAGTATTGCTCGCAATCCGATCGAGCAAGATCGTACCAAAAATGTGGAGATTGACAGACAATTCATAAAGAAAAAGATTGTTCAGGGAAATTTGTGTTTCAATTGTGTCCTCCAATGGTCAACTAGCAGATATCCTCACAAAGAATATTCATCATCATTTGTTCGATTACTTTAAATCAAAGTTAAACATGATTGACATCTATGCTACAACTTGAAGAGTATTAATTTATAATGTCAATATGTAACTATTATTATATATTATTAGTTTTTATTTCATCATTATATATTTCTTATTTGTTTTATTCTATTTTATTTCTTTCCTTTATTGTGTCTATTATAATTGGGTTTAAATATTCTTCTTCTATCAATAAAATTATAATGTTTTATTCCAAATCTCAACAAAGCATTTACATGCATACCACTCAATTCCAATGTATTTACATATTTAATACTTACAACTTAATTTTTATATTTGTGTCACTCAAATCTTTCATAACTCATCAAAAATACCACCACCATAATTTTCAAAAGGTAAAATATACATTTTCATGCATACTTAAGGTGGCATGCATGTAAAAATTGAAGTTTAGAGGTTAGATATGTAAAAACAGGAATTGAATGGTATGTATGTAAATCATCCAAAAAGAAATAACCAGGCTGTGTGGAGTTGTACTTAAACTTTCAAATGAGAAAAAACGGCTAACTAATATGCTATGACCAACCACATCACGCATAAATAAGTAAACCGATGGCACTAGTTATGATGTCACCTAAAGGTAATTTAGTCCCACAAATTTCCAAAAAAAAATTAAAGTAAAACAAATTTCATTCTTCAGCAACACAAACAACACAATAAATAAAGAATAAACACCTACAATTCAAGAGGTAGATGATCGTAGATGATCTCTCCCACAATTCAAGAGGTAGATGATCTCTCCCAATTCCTACAATTCGAGAGAAAGAAAATCTCTCCCAAACTCTAACCCTAAAACTGAAGACATAATCTCATGCATAACCTAACCCTAAACTATCAGCCCAATTTATACTAAAAATTAATAAATCATAAATAACTAAATTACCCTTAGGCTAATAAAGACTAATTTGCCTTAGGTGCCACAAAAACATTATTCCTCTCCCAAAAAGACATCTTATACTCAATATGGAAAAAACAATTGTTAGATCATGTCATATGGCTCCCATGCGGCGTCATCGTCTAACAATCATTTCCATTTAATTGAAACTCGTAACAACCCTCAGCGTCTCAAAATGTCGTTTTATGCACATCCTTCTGTCACATCCGAATCTGATGGGACCCTAACTTCAAGTCAACCCCGAAAATTAATGTCGCCCCACTTTACTTGTCCAGTAGCATATCGATCATCAAAATTTCTACCAACTTCGTATCATATGTCTCTTCCATGATATACAACTCGATCAAAATTCTCAGCCCTGTGTTCTGAACCGCCCTCATCATAGGCTTTAGCGACACCGTTCTACACAAATTGGGGTCACCGCGAAGCACCGCCTTGTCTCCCTCCTAAATACTCTACAGTGTCCAAATTAGTCTCTTACAAACTCCTCGCTCTTCACCACCTGTCTTGTTTCCCTTATTACATCTAAATCGTCTTCTGCCCGAAAGGTTGCGGACAAACTCCGTCGAAGTCCCACCCACCGTGGTTCTTTGTCCCAAGGTAAAATTCTTTGAACCTATCTTCTCTAGGCCCTAATCGCACGCCATCCCGTTTTGTCTGGTGTCGCTCGTTCCAAACCTCACAATGAAATGCAATTCCCTCCAAACACTGCAGCTCAAATCCGCTGCCAAATCCACTCTATCCTGTCTGCTTTTGTTTATTACAACCATCTGAATGTTACATTATTTCTTCTAGGTATTGCTACTTGAGTCCACTCCTAATTCTTTTGCTTGATATCGCAGCTTCTGGTCCATCTAAAGCAGCAACAGTGCCCAGATGTTGCGCGAATCCTTCTGGTTGCTGTTCCGCGTGTCCCTTCCTGATATTGTAGCTTGAAACGTGGAATGCAGAGGCGATTTGGTATGAAACTTTAAAATTTTCTTCATCATTTCTTCTAGGGTCGTGAACCTCCCTTCCATAAACGAGTGTCACTCCATTTCTGATCTAATTTGGCTCACCTCTTTTTCTAAATTCTTCTCCGAAATATTTACATCCTTGATTGTCATTATTTCAGGTTTCGACCAAGTGGGTGTAATGCAAAGGTTTGGTCATGCCGGTGAGGTTCAATCACGAAGGATTGTATGTCACGAAAAGGTAGCTCGAATCACAACTTCGGCTCACTTGAATCATTGTGATCCCGTCGTTTGGATTCCAACTTCCTCTTTCTGCGACCGTGTCGCATGGATCTCGTCGTTTGCATCCTTGCATGTTTTTTTTTCACAATTGTATTGCTTCCTAGCCATCTCAAATTGCAATTGTGTCATCGAGATTAGGGTGTGATAGAGACGCCAAGTAAACTGTGATCCCATTTCTCGCAACTGTTTCACTGTTCGTCGTCACGCCTTTCTGTATGTTGCAATCACATTGCTGCCTCCCAAACAGCTCGATCTCTACTATATTGAACCTATAGGTATGTCGTGATCCCGACGTTACCAATTCTTTCGCTTGATACCACAGCTTATGGTTCACCTAAAGCAGCAACATTGCCCTGATGTTGCGCGAATCCTTCTGGTTGTTGTTTCGCGTGTCCAATCCTGACATTATAGCTTGATACGCGGAATGCAAAGGCGATTTCGATTGAAACTTTAAGATTTTCTTCATCATTTATTCTAGGGTCGTGAACCTCCCCTCCGTAAACGAGAGACTCTCCATTTCTGATCTAATTTGGCTCGCCTCTTTTTCTAAATTCTTCTCTGAAACATTTACTTCCTTGATTGTCATTATTTCAGGTTTCGACCACATGGGTGTAACGCAAAGGTTTGGTCACGCCGGTGATGTTCGATCACAAAGGATTGCATGTCACGACAAGATAGCTCGAATCGCAACTTTAGCTCACTTGAATCGTTGTGATCGCGTTGTTTGGATTCCAACTTCCTCTTTTTGTGATCGTCTCGCACGGATCTCGTCGTTTGCATCCTTGCAAGTTCTTTCTGCGTTTTTATTGCTTCCCAGCTATCTCAAATCGCAATTGTGTCATCGAGATTAGGGTGTGATAGAGAAGGTCTGTAAACGGCGATCCCATCTCTCGCGACTGTTTCACTATTCGTCGTCACACCTTTCTGTATTTTGCAATCACATTCCTGCCTCCCAAATAGCTTGATCACTATTGTATTGAACCTATAGGTATGTCGGGATCCCGACGTTCCCAATTCGAATGCTTTGATGCCAATTCGATACGCTTCGACGCAAATTTCTACACATAAATTAAGACAAAATAATTTTTTTTTCTTTAATAACACAAACAACACAACACGTGAAAGATAAACAACTACAATTTGAGAAATAGGCGATCACTCCCAAATAGTACAATTCGAGAGGTAAGAAATATTTACCAAACCCTAACACTAAGACTCAAGACATAATCTCAAGCGTAACCCTAACTCTAAACACATTAGCTCAATTAATACTAAATAATAATAAATTACAAATAATTAAATTGCACTTAGGCTAATAAAGACTAAATTGCCTTATGCGCCATCAAAACATATCCATAATAGCTAAAGCATATTTACATAAAGAAAAATAATAGGGACAACTACATAAGCACTCGAAACATTGCTTTTTACAACATTAGCACCCAAGTATATTCCAAAACTACCGATCCAATTTATGTAAGTGTTCCATGATCAAACCATTGAGAGTTTGATAAAACTGAAAAATGGATGAAAGAGCGTGCAAGATTTGTAAATAGCAATATTTCGAGTGTTATGTAATTTTCCTAAAATAATAACAGGGTGGACAAAATTGTTGGTCTGAAGTCAGCATATGATGAACAGTCAAATTATTTGAATATGAAAACAAAAGAACAGCAGGTACATGACTAAATACCATATATTTTAATGCAAACTGATCATGATACTTACTGTCTACATTAGCCAAAAATTTGCTAAAGATTCTTTCGTCTCAAAGACAAAATGATTTTAAAAAAAAACAGAAGTGGCCATAGGCACTAACCTAGTTTTTGAAAAAGAAAATCCTCGTCATCAGTAGCACGAAATGTTCTTTCACTACTGATACTCTTCCGCATCCTCAGCTCAGGAGTTTCAGTTCTCCCTAAGCCAAGCCCAACAGAGAGAAAGAAATCTATGAAAGAAGTAATGAATTTGCATTAGCTTATCAGAAGAAAAAAATTGTGACAGCTATGAATCATCACTAGCAATAGCCAATGTAAAAACTATTATTGGCTTTATAAAAACTGAAATCAAAGTTAAAAAGAGAAAAAAAAAATCAATATTTTATCACTAGGATACATTACCATGGGGATAATTACAGGAAAAATAACTTTTACCAAAGAAAAACAAAGTAAGGATATCACATGTTAAGGCATGAACAATAGTTGAATTCTTGTAACCAGATGAAAATATATAAAGAGTTTAGTCAATTCTAGAAACTTTTCTTATCACAATAGTTTGAGGTAAATACAATACACATAAAAGAAGTACGCAAATTACAAAATAAGATAGATGAAAAAAATTAACTTTCAGATCAGTGAGGTGGTTAAGAGCACACTAAGCCAAAGAAATTTCAGCAATGAAAGAATTAATCATGAAATTTAAGAAGTATTTGCCAAACAGTAAATATTTTGAAAATTTTATTGTAAAAAACATGCCCCAAAGCCATAATGCACCACGGCAACCCATGGAACTTTACATGTGATACCAAACCTGTCGGTGAAAAGCTCAAATTTCTTCCACACTTTCCATGTCTAAAGTTTATCACTAATCAATAACTCTTAATGAATCTGTATTACCCTTTCTAGATTGAAAAGATACGTAAATGAGTAACATACTTCATATAAATTTTCATAGACATTCCACAAAACATCAAAATGTATGGCCTTACATTCAAATAATATGATCGTGCACATGGAAGCATTTATAGTGAGCTATATCCGCAGATTTTGTACCTATCATTCCGCTCTACTCATAAGGCTAAAGACACTTTATACTCCGCTAGAGAGAAAAAGATCAGAAATGGAGCAGTGTAATTAGAGAAAGATTACAACAAGGGAGAAATAGAGAATATTTTGAATGAGAAAGAGAACAGTGATATATAGACAAAGGGTAGGGAGAATAAGTAAATAGGATTAATTATAGGAAAAACTGTTAGTTGAGTTAATATTTCTTATAGAAAAAGAAAGAATTTTCAAAAAAAGAGGAAGAAATTTAAAATTTGAGGGAGAGAGAGAATAATTATTGATACTACAAAGTGGCAAAGAGAGGTAAAACGAAGAGATATTCAGAACTTAGACAGAATAAATAGAGTTGTAGGAGGAGAGAGAATATATATAATAACTAGAACGATCATTTGAAGAAAAAGAGACAATCGGAGAAACATAATTGGAGTACTCGGTTAAGGAAGAATGTAAAAGAGAAAACTATCCAAAAATATAATATATGAGAGAAAAAGCCAAGCCGCGCCAAAACCTCAAGGCCACTCTCAATTACTTCATTGAATAAATAACACCACCTTAATAGGTAGCAAAACATCAGACTTAGTAAACAATGAAAACTCAAACTATCCATTGAATGAACAATACCAATTTTAAGGATGTATCAGGCAAAAAACCATAGTCTTACTAACCAAAATGCAATTCCTCAAAAAAAGTAGAAAGTAAATAAGTCTATCATAGTAACACATTTGAATAAAAAAAAATCGTTATCCAAATTATATAAATAAAAATATAGAAAATTGAATCAATTAAATAAAGATACGGATGGTTAATCAACAGAGGGTAGTAATGACGTCAACAAATTGATGATGTAGAAACAAACAAACAGTTTCCATGATCCTCAAATAAGATTAATCTTTTAGATTGATGTAAAATTATATATCTAACATGGCTGACCGCATCTCAAGCTCAACTCGATATAATAAAGAATAGCAATGCAAGCCACTTTATCTTATACTAATTTTTTTATCAACATATATTCTAGCATTTTGCTTTGCATGCCACAAGTTCATAGCATAATGTTGTTTCACCTCGCATCACGAACCAAACTTATTTAAATCTGCCCTAATAAAATTTTGAGCAAGATGCTAATTTCCAACATAAAACTGTCATTGTCAGGTCCAAAGCCCCAAATGTGATAAGCAGAAGATTGTGTTAGATAGTCAACACTTAGCATAAAATTTGTCGAAAAATCAAGGCAGGAATCATTTTAATCATTGTGTAAATGCTAGGTGATCCCCTAGAAGTGACACACTGTATGGTCTAAACACAGTAAAAAGTGTGCAAGGGATGCTACACTGACGTCCAGGTATAGTGTCAAATAAGCAAGGGTTCTCACATTACAGACGGATGAAGATAAAAATATTATTCCATGAAACTAATATTAAGATAGGATCATTGAATATAGGTACTCTCATTGATAAATTAATGGAATTAGTTGATATTATGATTCATAGAAAAATAAATTTATTATGTATTCAAGAAACTAAATGGATTGGAGAAAAGACTAATCAGATTGATAACTTAGATTTTTAATTTTGGTATTCAGGTAAGAGTCGCACTAGAAATAATGTAGGTGTAAATAAATAAGGGTTTGAAAGATAATGTTGTAAAAATTAATAGAATTGTAGATAAAATTATAGTTTTTAAGATTATTGTTGATACTTAAACTTTTAATAACATAAGTGTTTCTCTTCCTCAAATAGATTTAGATATTGGTTTTAAAGATAAATTTTGGAATGACCTAGAGGACTTAATTCAAATGATACTATCGACCGTTTTATTTTTAAAATTTTTAAACTTTAGGATTTTTTGAAAAAGGGAGATGAGTTTTATAAATATGAAAATAGTTTTGATGTAAATTTAATTTTTAAAAGTAACATTTTAATTTAAAAAATAGATGAGACCAAGCGAGTCTCACATTTTGGATAGTTTGTATGACTAAGCACGATACCAAGAGTAATATACTTATCTCGAAGAATGTACATATCACTTGTAGTAGGCTCAATCACCTTAACTAAGGAATTTGTGACATCCATTTGGTCTGCAAAATATTTTATATGAGGCCAACAAGTTCCCCCATCTAATATAAGGATTAGATAGAGTTTATTTTACCCGGGTTCCAAATTTCCTATAGAAGCAAGCCCTTATAGTTAATTACATCTTAAATGATCAGGATCATTCGAGAAAACTCTCGATTAAGATCAATAGTTTTGCCTTCAAGATTTCAAAGTTTAGGTTTCTAAAATTAGATATGAGAAAATCAAAAGGAAGCGACTCAAAATAGAACAGTTATTTTAAGGAATCTAAAGGAGCGAAGAATAGGGGATATCACAGATCCAGAGAAAATCTTGGCGACTTCCCAACCATCCTATTGTTTGACTTTATATCTTTGAATTGATGTTATTTAATATTTTAATCTTGCGATTTATTTAGAATTTAGAACTTATATTCGCAAGATATTTGATCGTGTTAATGACGATAGGAGGAGGATTTACACCGTACCGTACAGAAACCTCGAAATCCTAAAGTGTTAGGACTTATAATTGCACAACAGGGTTGTGCAAGAGCCTAAAGGTGATATGTGAGAGTTTATGTTGCGCTAGGCAAACCACCTTGAATCCTGTGAGCTGTTATTTAAACTAAGTGATTAGTGATGTGAATGTGTTTTGATGTTGCAGCTCCATCTTGAAGTGGCTCCTCCGTATATCCTCGTCATGCTGCCCACGGTGTTCGATCCAAGTTCTTCGTCGTAGTAACATCAGGTTTGTTATTAATCCTATGTAATCACTAGGTTTTCCTATACTAAGGTATGGTGTGTAACAAAACGATTAAGCATGCAATATAAAAGAAAAAGCAGTATAATATACAATAAAGAAAAACAGTATAACATGTTGTGAAATAAAATGCTGTAATATAAATCAAACTTGTATATTTGGGAGACCTGCTGTTCCTTTAAGCGAACTAGTATTCACTGTATAAACAAAAAATAGATATTGCCTGGAAAATTCGAAAAAATCGATAAATAACCCACAACAAAAGACTCGGGAAAATCGACAAGTAACAATTCAAATAAAACTATCAAAGTTATGGGAAAATCCTAAGAGAAAAGAGACCACGAGTGTTTTGTCCTAAATCCAATAAAACTTACGAAAAATCCGAAAAGAGGGGGCTGCAAGCACTCGGGTCGGGGCTAGGCTCAATTATAATATATTTATACTCGAGGGACGTTGAAGGCTACTATCGGTCACCCGGATGTATAAAGTCTGTCACTCCACTAGAAGGATGTCCTACTGAACCTAACTTAGGATGGTACTTCTTAGCCCAGTATAGGTAATCAACGAGTGGACAACCAAGTTGTAACAAATTTAAAATTTAAACTTTTGCATGCACATATATTTCAAGCATACAAAAGGAAAATTGTATTAACTTTGTAGTGAAAATATATTATTATTATTTTATATAAAACATTATATATATTCTTATCAACTTGTTTTATCAATTTTAAAAAAAGTATAGTTGTCCACAAGTCGATCACGTCGTCGGACATAGGACCGCCAACAACCTAAGGTACGGGTCCCCCGCTTGTCTTGTGTAGGTGAATGATACTTTCATCTTACAGTTCATCAGGTCCCAGAATTGAGTCCTGGTGTTGCAGGATGAGATATCATTCTGCTCTACCACCGGCGTGCTTTTGTAATCATCGCCTTAAGCCCCAAAACAAAACCGACCTACTTGCGACCTTGTTTGATGGTTTCATATATACCAAATGACCATATATGAGCACTTACGTATCAGACATAAGCACAGAAAATCGAACGAGGAAGCAAATAAAAAAAGAATAAAAATGGGGATGAGAGAGGAGGAATTGATCCACCCAAAGATCGAAATAAAAAAGGGTGGAGCAACCCTCAAAACTTTGACGAAAGATCTAAAAAAAAAGCCTAAGATCCTTGAATCAATCCAGAGGATATCATCTTCTCAAATTTTATAATAATTGGATCAACCAAAAAAGGGTATCCTTAAAAGGGTATCATTTCCAAATTTTTGTTTCAAATAGATTGAAATGGGCCCAAAACACTGGTCCCATAGCTCCATCACTTGTATGCACTCACACACCCATGCCTGAACTCGAATATAGTATTTATGTTCTCTAGGCTTCAATGTTAAATCTCCAAAAACTTTTCCAAATGACAATTTTATAGGCTTTCAAATCCCAAAATAAGGAGAATAATCCATAGAAGCAACTTTTTAAATCCTCAAAACCATACCAGTATCCAATCCATTCAATTCCATCCCTTTTTAGAAACTTTCCACGATTATACAAATGTAACACCAATTTAGAAAATATAGAAGTGTTTACTAGAAGGACAAAATGGTCCTGAATAATCCTCCACAAGCTCACGGGTAACAGCAGGAAGGAGAGCAAAGACTTACGGGTAAGGCCAGGAAAGAGAACAGGGACTCACGGGTAAGGTCAAGAAAGAGAGCAGCCAAGCCTCACAACAAGCCCACAAGTAGAAACCGTGAAATGCACAACCAAACTTCAACATAAACTTACAATTTAAGACAGTAAATAGGGCAAAACTCTCGTGAGGGGCAGTAGAAGAAAGCCAAACCCGAACCAACTTTGTCACAGACCAAGGAATCTCCATAGTAAGGCTCACAGGTAAAGGGCAGCAAGAGGAAGGCCTCTTCCCTCTAAGCTCACAGGTAAGGCGAAGAAAAGAGAAAAACCACCACATATTTAAGCCTGACCCAACCACCTTTAATATAAAAGAATCATAGGAAGAACTCATAGCCAGGATAGAATGAGAGCAAATTAAATCCCAGCCAACCACAACACAAATTACAATAATAAGACTCACGGGTAGGGGCAAAGAAGAAGGCCACAAAGGCAACAATCACCAAGTAAGGCTCACGACCAAGGCAGCAGGAAGGAAACCACCATAGGTATTGCCATTGTATTACCTTTGATATACATAAGAGAGTGAATAGACAAGCTATCATAAACTATCCAAACCGAAGCCATTTTTATCAAGATATATCAGCTTATCCCAAACATTTCCATATAGAAATATATATTGAAATCATGAATTTTGGGATGACAAACTTGATTACCAAAAAAAATCTCAAAAATGGAGCATTATATTCAGAGTTTCCAACCCAACCGAACCCAACACAAAGGGACAAACAACAGAGAATCAAAGAACTAAATCATGGAAGCTCACGGTCGGGGACAACCAAGGGAAATCACCATACCACAGGGAAGCTCACAACCAAAAGTCTCAAGACCTAGAAAAGTAATACAGGGGCCCAAAGCAAGCCATATATTGGGCTAGAAACAACACTCGACCAAGCCAACACAAGGCACAAATCGAGCCCAACACAGGGGCAAAACTAAAACATTTCAAAGCAAAAATAGAGCCCAACACAGGGGCAAACCGAGCCCAGTAAGAAGAACAAAACAGGGAGCCATAGAGAGTAAACCGAGCCCAACAAGAAAGGGCAAACAGAAATAGAATTCCAACCAAAATCGAGTCCAGCAGATAGAGTCAAAATAAAACACAATCTTAACTCAACTAAACCCAGCAAAAGGGGCAAAAATAAATAAACCTCCAAGCCAAACTGAGCCCACATCTTAGACATAACCAAGCTCAATATAAGAGCTAAAGAAAAGAATGCAATTTAAGTCAAACCGAGCTCACTAAATGGGACAAAAATAATGTAAAACTTTCAGTTAAGTCCAACATAGAAGAAGCCAAAACCGAGCCATCACATGCGCAAACCCAGACCAACATAAGGGCAAAAACAGATAAAAAAATATTTCTAGCAAAGATCCAACTCTAAAGAGCTAAAACCGAGCCCTTCAAATGGGTTAAAACAGCTAAAAAAATATTTCCCCTTGGAGCCTTATATTTCAAAGTATTCTGCCAACATATGTTTCGAATGGAATCAAATAACAGGAAGCATATAAATATGCATGAATCTTTATAGCCAACATGTCATCAAGCTTTGAAATGAATTCCAACATTTAATTGAATAAAACTAACAATAATAGAGAGCCTTAGAATCAAAACCCAAACCATCATTTCATTTAACACATCTTTCAAATAGGCAACTATCATTTCATGGTAACCACAAGAATGTTCTAATTTAAGTCAAACCAAGCTCTCCAAAGGTGGAGAAACAGTAGAGAACTTTCGGCTAAGACATAATACCAAAAGGAGCCAAATCGAGCCCACTAAATGGGTCAAAAATAATGTAAAACTTTCAGTTAAATCCAGCCTAGAAGAAGCTAAAACCGAGCCAAGCAAAGGAACCAAAAACAGAGAAAATTTTCATCTATAATTCCCACTTAACAGAGCCAAAACTGAGCCCTTCAAATGGGTTAAAACATAGAACATTTTTTCATTTATAATTCCCTCCTAACAGAGCCAAAACCGAGCCATCACATGCGCAAACCGAGCCCAGCATAAGGGCAAAAACAGATAAAAAAAATATTTCCAACAAAGATCCAACTCCAATGAGCTAAAAATGAGCCCTTCAAATGGGTTAAAACAACTAAATAAACATTTCCCCTTGGAGCATTATATTTCAAAGTATTGTGTCAACATATGTTTCGAATGGAATCAAATAACAGGAAGCATATAAATATGCATGAATCTTTATAGCCAACATGTCATCAAGCTTTGAAATGAATTCCAGCATGTAATTGAATAAAGCTAACAATAATAGAGAGCCTTAGAATCAAAACTCAAACCATCATTTCATTTAACATATATTTCAAATAGGCAGCTATCATTTCATGGCAACCACAGAAATATTCCAAAATTTCCTTTATCATGCATTTCGAATCAGAAAGTAAGAGAAAGCAGCCATATTACACTTCATCTTATTGATTCAATGAGCTTTCCAGGATTAGATCTCAAAAGCAGGCATAAACTTTTACTTTCACATGCTTTAAAAGAGAATATTTTCAGGTTCAAATCCGAATGATGCAGATTAGAGGAAAAAAGAGAAATACCTCTTAATGGCTCCTAATGCAGCTCAAAGTAAAACTGTAGAACAAATTTAAGAAAACGCCTCCTACAGAAACTCTCCTCCAAAAGCTTCAGAAAACAGTAACTCACGAATGCTCCATACTCCCAGCGCACGAGAATCTAACTTAGAGAAGATTTCTGCAAAACTTCCCTTCCTAAAAGCTTCAGAAAACATCAATCCACAAATGCTCCACACTCCCAACACACGAAAACTTAGTCTAGAAAGAATTTTGGCAGAGCTTTCTTCCCTATCCCAAAAGGCCACAAACAATAAACCCACGGCCTCTCTTTCTCTCAAGAAATTTTCAACAACCCAAAAAAGTATATTAAGAAGTTTTTTTATAGGCAGAGAAGAGAGGGGGAACTGCCACCTACCACCGTAAGGTGATCGAATCAAACGGCAAGGCAATAATTGCCACAGTGAAAAGGGAGACGATAAAACCTCGAGAAGGAGAAGGGTCGGCCAGCTCGGCCCTTGCAATTGAAGAGCCGAAGAGTCTAGCGGCCACGCGAAGAAGGGGAAGAGTCGAGAAAGGGGGAAGAGACTGTCGGGTGGATCGTCCACGGGAGCTAGGGCAAACAAGGGAGACGAGTCGAGCGTTCGACTAAGCCGCGGGGTCGAACGAGGGATTAAGTGTGCGGGAATAGAGAAAATAGGGTTTAGGATTATAATTTTCATATTATAAGCGGATTATAATTTTAATATATAAAATATATAAAATATATAATATTTCTTAAAAAAAAATTTGATTCATACTTTTCATTCGTGCATCAAAACATAACAAAATTGATGTCCTTTTTAGGTAATTTTGACGTTCCAGACGCGTTGGCGCGGTCCGTTTCATCATCGGAGGTCATTTTGACGAATTCATCGATTTGCATGCAATTTTGCTCGTGTCAGAAATAAGACAATATGAGTGTCTTTTCGTACTAAAATTAGTGTTTGGACGCGTTGGTGCAGTCCATTTTGTTGTCGGAGGTTGTTCAGAGAAGTTTGCATTTTCACTCATCCTGTAAGCTCAATTTAAGTCTGATTTTGTGCAACTTAGTGAATTTTGTGCATTTGGCGTGCGTGTGTGATGGTAAAGTCCTTAAGAAGTTTTCCTATGGCTTAAGATTCTATTGGGAATTTCTTCTTGAGCCTCCACGTGATAGTCTTTTAACACTCGACCATAGTACGATGGTTTCGAAATCATCAATGCGAGATATCACAGGAGAAATAGGAAGTGCCCGAAATTTTCTAAAAAAAAGGTGGGTCCCAATTCTAGTTTTCTAAGATGGTCAATAGGAACTTCTAAAGCTAGATCCTAAGATCCTAAGGGAAGGAGTAATGACCTCAAAATGAGGTCAACAGATACCCCTTGAAGAAATAATTTTTATTAGAGAAGATTTAAATGAAATATGACAGTAGAGTGGTAGAAGATTTTAGAAAAATTCATGGTAATTATGGTTTTGGAGTGATTAATGAAGAAAGTAGTCATATTAGATTTTGCTTTAGCATATGATTTTGTTATTATTAATACTTTATTCAAGAAAAGAGATGACCATATTATTACTTATAAAAATTGATCTGATAAAAAACATTCATTATTTTCTTATGTGAAGAAGAGATGGTTGAGAATGTAAAGATTATAAGTTCATTCCAAGTGAAGCTTTAAGTACTAAACATTGATTATTAGTTCTAAATTTTAAGATGAGTTGTAAAAAAAAAAATATTAGGACTCATTATTGTAGAATGAAATTGGGGCGCCTAAAAGAGAAATAAAATTATTTTTACGGATAAACTTCATGATTTCAAGATTTTGAATTGTCATGAAAAAACAAACTCTAGGTGGGATAACATAACAAACACTATTAAACAAATGGCAAAAGATGTACTTGGAGAATAAAAAAAATTTATATAAATAAAAATAGTTGGTGGTCGAATAATAATATGCAATAAAATATAAAATACAATAAGTAATATTATAAATATTAGTTTAAATGTAAAAGCTTAGAAACTGGAAAAAATATAAAATGACTTGTAGAGAGGTGTTGACCTCATTTTAGCGAGGTCTAGTTTTCTTCTTAGGGTTTAGGGTCTAGCCTTAGGATTCTCCCTTTGACTATTTTAGAGCCTTAGAAATGGGACCCACCTCATTTTAGAAGTTCAAACCACTTATTTATTCTTTTAGAGTTCAGCATGTGAGGTTCTTGATCTCTAGTACTTAGGAGGTTGAAACCAACATGAGGAAACTCAAAAGAAGTCCCTAT